TTTTCTGGATCTCTTTCACTCCAACCCAAAAAAGTTGGCACCTTCTGAGAAGAGTGAAGGACGTAACATTCCCAAATATTTATCCATTTCTTTCTGACCCAAACTTTGTCCTCTTCAGTCTTTGCCTCAGGTTGGTAAACAAACATTTCCTGGCTCACATTCCTGCCATCCTAAGGATTTACTTTAAGCCTAAATTCAGATCTAGGAAGGATCCCTCATATTTTGGGGCAAAGGAATTTAGTAGAAAAGCTAGGAAACCAATGATTTCTAGCTAAAAACAAAACATGTTGCCATCAAGCCCATTCCAGCGTATAGTGACCCCTGGCGTTAGAGTAGAACTGCTGCACAGGGTCGTCTTGGCTGTAATTGTAAAGAAGCAGATGGCCTTTTCCTTGCGGCGTTACTCAGTCAATGTGAACCACCAACTACAGGTGAGTAGCCAAGTACAAACTGATTAAAGCACCCACAAACCTCACTTTCTGGGTGGGTGGTGTCACTGAGTACCATGGAGTCCGAACTGACCCATAGCTGACTCTCCAATGGATTTTCAGAGGCAGTAAGACTGCCCATCTTTCCCTGTAGAGAAGCCAGTGGATTTGAACTGCATACCTTTGGCTTGGCAGCACAATTCCTTACCACTGAGCCACCAGAGCGCTACCCAGAAAATAGGTAAGACATCCCAAAATAGTTTTTATTCAATGTATGTTTCAGGTGGAGGACTCAGAGACTAGATCCTATTGGCAAGTCAGATCAAATCAGAACAGATATTCTGCTTTTACTTTAACTCCAACACAATTCTGAAATATAACACATTCATGTGACTGTGCCTCTTTCTACACTTATATCCAAACTATAAGAAATTGGCTTTGTTTCTTATCTAAGGGTAACTGCAGTCTGGAAAATAGGGGGAAACAACAACTAATGCCTTCGACAAGTTCACAAGTAGATGTGTTGTGTTTTTTGTTTTTTTTTAGTACCACAGATATTAATGAACAATGAAGATCATCCCCATGACCCAAGTGAGAGAAAAAACATCCAGGATCCGGTGGTGGCCTCAGCGCAGCTTCCACGCCTCTAGTTCTGACTCTAGCAGTGTCAGCACGTCACCCTCGAGCACAGGTTCTTTCATGTTGTGAAATGACGGAGCGGCTCGAGTTGCCCATGAACTCCAGGCACACCTGCATGCACTGGCCTTGCAAGCCGGTCCTGCCAAACACCTCGGTGACTCTGGTCAGATAGGCTGCACGCAGCTGGTATCCATGATGGCTGCACGGTGGCGGGCAGGCGGACTCCCACATAGTATTGTGCCATAAAGTTTCCTAATACTATGATCAAAGGGAATAGGCTAACTAATGGAGTCTAAAGTCCTCCTTCTGCATCAGTTACTCTCCTGATTCTTAGCAGAGGCTCCCAACAACCAAGTATTAGGCCTGCGGAGCCCTTTACTTCCTCTCCCAGAATGGCTATTGAGAGAATCCATCACAGGAAACAGCAGCTGTGCTTTTTCTTTGAAACTACCCTACCCCCCTTTTCTCCAGGAACAGTTAACTGAGACCCTAGCCCACTTCCCTATCTTGAAGGAAGCATCTGTAAGCATCCCCTTTCCCAAGTCCCTTGTAATAAAATGTAAAATCCCCCTCTTAGTGGGGGTTGGTCCTCTGCTTGAGAGCCAGCCCAGCAGTTTCTCAATAAACTGTCTTTCTTGGCCTGCACTGGGTTCTGTCCTTCCACCATGACCTTACACCAAAGAATTAGAAAATATGGTTTCTAGAATGACTGGAATATGTCTTCGGGGGAAATATTAGGACACACCCCAAAAATGAAAAAGAACTGAATGTAAAGGATCAAAACTTGTTGTCTAGGGAGCTCTGGTGGCCTAGTGGCAAGAAGCTGTACTGCAATCACAAAGGTACACCAGATGCTCTGCCGGAGAAGGAGGGACAATTTCCTCCTGTACCAGTCAGATCTGATTTGACGGTACATGCATTAAAAAAATAATAAATTTTTTTAAAAAAATAAAACAAAAACCTGTTGTCTGAAGTTCCCAGGCTCCAAGCAGCTTTCAGTAACTTGGGTGTCATTGTATGTAGTGAACTGCACTGTGACCCCAAAGGCTTCATGTCTCTGTGGGAGAAAGACGGGGAGTCTACGTGGTTTTATAGCCTCAGAAACCCAAGGGAGAGTAGCTCTGACTTGCAACTGATGCACTGGCAGTTTACTAGATGAAGTCTTGGTGGCACAGTGGGTTATGTGTTGATGACAGCAGTTAATTTGCTGCTTTAAGGAACTCTTAGAAATGACCATGAAAATGTATTTTATTGGTGAGCTCTGGTGGCCTAGTGGAAAGAAGCTGCACTGCAATCCCTGAGGTGTGCGGTTCAAATCCACCAGATGCTCTGCTGGAAAAGGAGGAACAATCTCCTCCTGTACCATTCAGATCTGATTTGACGGTACACACACACACAAATAATAATTTTTTTTTAAAAAAGGAAAATATATTTTATTGCCTATTTTTCTTCTTATACTTCACATGATCAAAATCAACATTTTAAAGTACGTCTTCCTTACAAATATGAATGGGAGTGAATTCAGATTTACCTATCTTTTAACAGGTCCCAATCATATGCTAAAAGCTCTGGTAGTGCTGTGAAGGTATTCAGATGCTAAACTTAAAGATGGGTGGTTCAAATCCACTTATAGATCCAGGAGAAAGATGAAGCAGTTTGCGCCTTGGCAATTTTAAAGGGCAGTTCTGCTCTGTCCTAAAAGATCACTGTTGTTGATTGCTTTCGAGTTGAGCACAACTCATAGCAACCCTAAGAACAAAAGGCCTGAATGAGTCACCATCACCTTGATGCCACTGAGTTATGTGCCATCAAGTCGCCTGTGGTGTATAACTACCCTATGTACTATAGCTCCACACCCTGCCCTATGCTGAGCCAATCTAATCATCTCTGACAGACCTAATTCCATTTTTCCTGTCACAGAATCAATCCATCTCATCCTGGGTCGTCTTCTCCTGTGCTGTCCCTCCACTCTTGTAAGCATAATGTCCTTTTCCAAGGACTGGCCTCTCCTGGTCACATGCCCACAGTATGTAAGACGGAGCTTTAAAATCCTTGCCTCCAGGGAGCAACTTGGTTTCACCCTCTCCAGGACAGACCTGTTTGCTCTCCTGGCAGTCATTGGTTTAAGACTCTTCTCCAGCACCACAGCTCAAAGGCATCAATCCTTTTTCTATCATCCTTAGTCATTGTCCAGCTCGCTGATGCATAGCAAGCAATTGAGAAGACCATGGCCTGTATAAGGTGCACCTTAGTCTCCAGACACCTGTTATTTGTATTATTGAGAGCTCTGATGGCTTAGTGGTAAGGAGTTGTATGGACACCAAAATACATGGTGCAAATTCACCAACTGCTCCATGGGAGAAAGCTGTGGCAATCTGTGTCCTCCTGTGTGATTAAGTGCTTCTGAAAATCCGCTGGAGGGTCAGCTATGGATTGGTTCCAACTCTATGGTACATAACAGTTCCTCAAAGGGTGTAAAGAAGCTTTGATGGTATAGTGCTCAACTACTAGCTAAAATACTATGGTCCAAACCCACTTGCTGTTCCATGGAAGAAGGATGTGGTAAGAAACTCTGAGGTGGTTCTCTCTCCATAGACTCACTGAATCAATATCAACTTGACAGTAACAGGTTTGGTTTGTGGTTTATGTCATAAAAATTCAACTAAAGTTAATAAGCAAAAGTCTCATAAGAAACATGTTATGTAAGAAAAAGAACAAAAAAGTTAAGTACAGAATTTGGTAATTCCTCTTCCAGGTATATACCTCAAAGACTTGAAAACAGGAACTCAAACAGATGTTTGTATACCTGTGTTCACTGCATTATTATTCATAAAAATTAAAAGGTGGAAACAACTCAAATGTCCTTCAACAGATAAACGGACAAAATGTATATATAGGAATTGGGTATTTTTCAGCCATAAAGAGAAACGTGGTTCTAATACACATGATGACATGGATGAATCCTGAAAGCATTACGCTGAGTGAAATAAGTCAGATATAAAGGGAACAAATAAACTGTGAAATGTCCAGAATAAGCCACTGATAAGGTTTACTAGGTTACCAAGGGCTTCTTCTTGTTGCACACTATGATAACCCTAATGGTTTATCCTAGACAAATGATTATTAGAGAAGAGTTTTTGTGTTTTCTCTACAGGGGGAGAAAAACAACATGAGAGGGAGAAGGAATAAAGAAGAAAAGAGAAGGCTAGGCAGTCTCCTCTCGTGTGATTAACTGTCTCTGAATACCCGCTGGAGGGTCAGCTACAGGTCGGTTCTGACTCTATGGTACTCAACAAGGAACTCTTTTAACTCTTAAGCGCAGTTCTTCCAAGAACCAGCAGGTGGAGGGTGGGGAGATTTGGACAGATTGTCAAACAGGACCAAGGTTAAGAACTTTTAATGTTACTTGTTTAATACAACACAAACCACAAACAAAACATTCAGCTGGAGATTACCACATTCCACTTCTACATTAACTGTGGGAATTGGACTTAATCTGTTGTCTAGTAGGTGATTACAGCAAGAAAAATTGGCAAAGTGGTGACTCTTAAAAATGGCGTAAAATCCCCACATATCATGCCATTAAGTTCTCCTTTTATACTGTGACCCACATACAGCAGAAAGTCAAAGGAACAGACCAACCAGGGTTGTTCTCTATATTTCACTCACTCCTTTCATTGGCTAAGGGTCTCTAATGCTCACTGGTATAGAAAAATAAGAGGAGGAAGTCTCTAGGGCATACTAAGAAAACGAAGAGAAGCCAAAAATGGGTGCAGAGGCCAACACTAGTGTCTGAAACTGCTGGGCTGTACATATACAGCTTCAGTCCAGTTAGAAAGTTCTTGGCTCCTGGATCATCTTTCCAATGGTGACTTAAATTCATCATCTAAAACCAAGCCTGTCTCTACTGCTAGACTCTGGTTCACTGGCTCATCAGTCATTCTCATCTTCATCCTCTATTTGAAACCGTTTCTTCTTTTTGACTCCTGGAACTTCCAATTCTGGTGCTATGGAAATGATGAGGGTAGAGGGATGGGAAGAGAGAATAAATAAATACATGAAGGAGGGTGCTGGAGTTTGTCTCCAAGATTGATTACAAGAATGTTAGAAGGAATTGGAAAAAAGTAGGTCCCATTCAGAAAGCCTACCTTTGTTCCTACCCTCATCCTCCTCATCACTGTCCAGCAGTTGTCGTTTCTTGCGGGCTGCCTTCAGCTGCTCCTTCTCACCAGTACCCCCTTCCTCTGAAATGGCCATGTTGTTGTTATGTGCCGTCGAGTCGCCTGCGACTCATAGCGACCCTATGTACAACAACCCTAAACTGCGCTCTGTCCTGTGCCAATCGCACTGTCTCTGACACTCCCATCCCAATTATCCCAGTCACTGAATCAATCCACCTCATAGAGGGCCTTCCTCTCCTGCGCCGTCCCTCCACCCTCCCAAGCATGATGTCCCTCTCTAAGGACCAGTCTCTCCTCACAACATGTCCAAAGTAAGTTAGACAGAGCCTCAGAATCCTTGCCTCCAAGGAGCCACCCGGTTTAACCCTCTCCAGGACAAATCTGTTTGTTTTCCTAGCAGTCCATGGTATTCTCAATATACAACAGAAATGGCCATAGCAGCATAAAATTAGGGAACCTTTAAATACACTACCAACACTCTGAACCAGTATGGTTGGCACACAGTAAGGATTCAATAAATAAGCAGTATTACTGTTACCTCCTGGGGACACCAGGTCTGCTTTCTTTTTCCGAGCTAACATGAGGGCCCTCAGGGCCTGTGCTTGGTGCTCTTCATCATGTCCTTGCTCTTCAGAAACTTCAAGTTTTAGTTCTGGTTGCAGTTTTTCCTCCTCCTCTCGCTGATTCAAAGAAGCTGCTACTCTCCGGAGACAAGCAGGACTTAGCTTGGCTGGAATTCGCCAGAAAGTTTCCTGTAGTGACAAAGAAGGTGAAAAAAGACAACATCAGTGTCTAATACTTCAGATTTTTTTTTAAAAAAAATTTTTGTGTGTGTGTGTGTGTGTGCACCATCAAATCAGATCTGACTGGTACAAGAGGAGATTGTCCCTCCTTCAACAGAGAATCTGGTGGATTTGAACTGTGCACCTCTGGGACTGCAATGCAGCTTCTAGCCACTAGGCCATCAGAGCTCACCAATTCTTCAGATTTTAAGAGTATTTATTGAACAGGACACCAGTGAAGACCAACAAGAGCCATGAAGTTGACGTATTGCTTATTTATTTAACAGATAGCAAAATCCCATTTAACAACCTATGATATGTAGATGACACAACCCTACTTTGGTTAAAGTGAAGAGAACCTGAAGTACTTACTGATGAAGACCAGAGACTATGGCCTTTAGTATGCATTACACATCAGCATAAAGAAATGAAAAATCCTCACAAATGAACCAGTAAGAACATCATTATGAAGAGAGAAAAGGCTAAACACGTCAAGGATTTCTTCTTACTTGGATTCACAATCACTACTCATGGAAGCAAGAGTCAAGTGATAAATTGCATTGGGTAAATGGGATACCAAAAGTATAAAGTATTAAATGTTTCTTGAAGTATTAAAAACAAATTACATTTGAGAACTAAAATGTGCCAGACCCAAGCAATGCTATTTTTTTACTCACTTCACGTAAGTATGTGAAAGTTGAACAGTAAATAAGGAAAAGAAAAACTGATGCTTCCAAATTATAATGTTAGGAAAGAATATGGAACACATCCTGGCTACAGAAAAACAAACAAACAAATCTGTCTTGGAAGGAGTACAGCCAGAATGTTCCTTAGGAGCAAGGATGGTGAAACTGTCTTATGTACTTTAGATATGTTATAAGGAGGAGTCAGTCCCTGGGGAAGGACATCATGCTTTGTAAAGCAGAGACTTCGTAAAGAGGAGACCTTCAACAGGATAGACGGGCACAGCGGCTGTAACGAAGGGCTCACACACAGCAATGATTGTGAGAGCGCACAGGAGCAGGCAGTGTTTCTCTTGTACTTGGGGTGGGGACTAAACAGCACCTTACAATATACCCCATGTCTAGCATCATACTTGCTATATTAAGAGGTTTCCATTAAATAAACAAATTATTTGTTTATTAATTTATTAATAAATTATCAATTTGTTTATGGAATGAATAAACGGATCTTAGGGATTAAAAGGTAAGAAAAATATGATTTTTGTTCTCAAACAACCCACAGTATTTCAGGAGAAAGAACAGACATTCTCTAATACTATGCACTCTAGTCCCAACTGCAAAGGTGATTACTTCTGTTTAATAGTGATAAGGATTACTACTCAGAAGAGGTGACAATTGATCTGAGTCTTAAAGGACAGAAAGACAAGGGTATATATTTGTGTGTATGTATTGGTAGAACCTTCCAGTAGGAAAATTAGCATGATCAACCAGTTGGAGGCTGGCTTTTGGAAGATCTGAGGTAATCCAGGATGACGATGATGTAAACATGGCATGTGAGAGGCATGGTCATGAGAATGCAGAGCCCACTGGCCAACGCTGAACTTGCCACTCTGGACTGGATTCCATCTGCATGCAGAAGGACCATCAAGCACACTGGCCAATGCAATGATATAATTAGAGTTGTAGTATGAAGATGGACACATAAGGAAGACTGAAGAGATGATGACTTACTATTGCAGGAATCTTGGTCAAAAACGAGCACGCAATTGTGATGAAGGAGGAGGGATGTGTTTCGGAGGTAAAGTGAACATGCCTTAATGACTTCTTGGGTGGCAATATTACCAGTGTGTTTACCTGGCCCAAAACAGGCGGCTGAATCCCTAGTTTGCACAACAGCTGCTGAAACTGTTCATTTTCCATTGCTTCCTCATTTTCTTCCGTCAATGGCACCAATGGAATTGACTGGGAACAGCCTAAAAGAGCGTCAGTAGTCACGGTAAAGATGGAGAGAAGAATGAACTATTGCTCCATGGTGTACCAGGTGTCTAACAGCATCTAGTGCCCCCGCCCTCCTACAATCCTCTTCTGTCCACTGACCATCCTCTTCCCGATCAGCTGCTGCTCGAATCAAGCAGGTCTGGAGCCATAGGATGGGAGCAGAGAAGCCTAAAAGAAGGAAGAAAATTTATACTTAACACCTTCTCCCAGTACATCTGAGACAGCTCCCCTGACCCACGCACTCACCTTCTTGATAGAGATTCAGTCCAAGGCTTTCACTTGAGAGGACTGAACTACCATGGATTTCATGAGCTTCCCAGACCTTCTCTTCCTCCTCCTCTTCACTCTCTTCCTCTGGTAAGTTCTCCTCTTCTTCCTTATCTTCCTGGTAAAAATCTTTCAGAGAGTCCTCTCCATTGAGCTGAAATTTATGGGTGTGGGAAGTGAAAAAAAAAGAAAAAGAAAAAGCACAAGAGGCCAAAATGAGGAACTGTGTTTTCTCTAGTTTCTTTTCAACCCACTGGTGGAACCTAACCACTGGGCCACACCATCACAACACCTGGGATGGGAAGACTGCAGGGGCTGCTTCTCAGGAGCACTTCAAGGGTAGTGGTCCACACAGACAGAGCCAGGATGGCATTCTTACCATGCTGGAGGATGCCAGTTTCTTCCGGCGTTTCTTGTAGAGCTCCCGCCGTTCAGTCACCAGCCCCATGGCCATCAGTTTTTCCACTATTCGGCCCCGTGAGCGCTTGGCTGTGATGTTCTTCATGATATGACCCATGACATCTATAGTAAGAAAAAGTGCGATTTTCCAACAGTAATGGGAGAAAGGGATTGGCACAGAAAAGTCTCTGGGAACAGTCTAGAACAATTCACCCAGAAAAGGCATCTCAAATTAAAATGACATTTAACATTTCAATAATTATTTTATAATGCAAATTTAAATGTCCACTTAAAATCTATTTAATATTTAAATATTAAATGGACAGGGAAGTTGGGATAAGCCTTCTTTGAGAACAGAAGGCAGGGTGGGAAAATGGACAGCTTGATCTCAATTTAGAGGAAGACCCTCAATGAGATGGATGGGCACAGTGAGGGCAGCAATGGGCTCAGGTGTGCCAGAGATGGTGAGGACGGCACAGGATAGGAGAGGGCTCAGATCTGTTGTTCACAGGGTTGTTACAAGTCATATTCAACCCCATGGCATCTAACAACAACATGACCTCACTTACCATCTGAATCCTGGAACTCCTCAAAAAGCCGTCGCAGTTCTAGCTCCTGATCTTCTGTCCACACAACAATATTGATACCTTTCCTGTTCAGGGAGATGATCAAAGAGGGGCTCAGGGAGTAAACAAAGGAGTTCTCCACCCCAACTTCTTCCAGAGTATAATCTCTACCTTTGGAAGTCCTTGACACTGTCTGCCAGTCCCAGCTGTACCAGATGGTGAATGATCTGCTTTCGTGTGCGAGGAGCCATAGTCAGGTGTGCCAGGATGACATCCACTACATCCTGACCTAGGGTGAGAGGAAGGGGCTGTAAAGCAGGACCTGGAGCTTAGGGTGCCTTCCGCATAAGCTCTTCAGATCTCCAGGTCTCCTACCTTCTACATCCTTATGGGCAAGGTACAGTTCTCGTAGCTGGGTGTCTTCCTCTGGGCTCCACACGGGGAGTCTTCTACTGGAAGACCTTACCAGCACAACCGGCAAAAGGAAACATGTAGTTGTTGGCCCACAAAGAGGAAATTAAAGGCTTTCTCTGCTCAATTCTGAAAGCAACAAGTCACTAAGACTCAACAACTCACTGTCGTTGAGTAGGAAACGACTCAGAGCTGATCCGCTAGCCAGTTTTCAGAGGTTGTAAATCACATGGGAGGAGACTGCTCATTTTTTCTCATCATGGAGCAGCTGGTGAATTCAAACCACCTGCCTCTGGGCTGGCAGCGCAATTCCTTAAGCAGTAGACCACCAGAGCTCACTGAAGACTGTTGTTGTTAAGTGCCATCGAGTCGCAGGCGACTCATAGCGACCCTATGAAGGAGAGTCCTTGACGCTTGGGTGCCTTTCATCCTCTCTCCAGGTTCATAGGGTTTCCGGAGGCAAGCTATTACGGAAGTGGATGCCACTCCTCCTTCCACCACTGAAGACTAGAAGGGTAATATAAAGGACAATACAGGTAACTCAAAAGACGAGAGTGAGCAGAAGTCAATAGGAAGCAGGCCTTCTTCTCTCCACTCTCCTTCCATTTAACCTAAAAGTCACACTGAGAAATTTTCCATTTGGTCCTATGGAGACTTAATCCTGAAAGGACTGAAGGCATTATGAGGAATAAGAAAGAAGTATGAAAGTAGAGGAGCTGGTATACTGAGGGAGAGATAAATGTCCCTATTTTTCATGTATTGTCTTTGGGAGGGCCTCTACTCGCATCAGTGACCACCCACATGAAGAAGGCTGGTTGAATTCTTCCAAGTGATCTCAAGTAAAGCGATTTCTCTTCTGAGCCTATTTCCTTATCTAAGAGGGAAGGAAAAGACTGGACCGGATGATCTGAAAGCTCTTTCAGTTTTTATATTCTGTGACTGTCCACCCTTATTGCCAATCCTTCTCCAGCCTCCAGCTTACCCACTTTCCAGAGAGCCATAGCCCTCCGTCATCTCTCGAATCACAGCTGTGTTCTTCCAGAACAGCAGCTCCACAAAGGCTTTCTGGTTGACTGCAGTCAATGCAAAGAATTTGGCCAAGATGTATTTGGCAAAAGTCACTAGCTCCTATAGAAGAGAGAGGCTGTTGTGAGGTCTCTGGCCCAAATGTATACATAAAATCAGTCCATTGAGTATTCTCTCTGTACCTGTTCTCGGCTTCCCCTTCTCACTCAGACTCACGCTTAACAAGCTTCCCCATACAGCTCTCTCATCCAGCCTTTGCCATCCCTCAGTATCTTTTAACTCCTGAAGAATACCCTTTTATCCCAGGACGCCCATATTCCTCCAGATCCCCAATTCATGGAAGTCTCTCACTTTGTAGGCCCCAGCAGCAGGGTCACTAAGCAGACGATTGAAGAGGCAGAAGAGTGAAAGCTGGAAAAGCAAGGCTTCCATTTTGAGGTCACAGGCCAGTCGATGCAACATCTTGACAAGACAGTGATTAGTGTGGACACTATTCTGCTTGTAGCTCCGCAGCAGCAGCACGTAGGATCGGACCACAGTTGAGCATGCAAAGCTGCACCAAGACAGGGAAGAAGAGGATGTCAACAAAGAGAAGACACCATTCATCTCCTGGTTCCAGTCACCAACCTAAGACCAACTTAGCTCTCTTTGCCCGCACCGTCTCAGGTAGTCCAGAAAGTTAAATTCTTTCTCCGACACCTGGACCACTTGCAACTCTTCCTCTTCCACTTCTTCTTCCTCTTCTTCTTCCTCCTCTGCTCCTTGTTCCTCTGGCCTCTGCAGCCCTGTAGGAAAAAAAAATTAGGGATGACCAACTGGACCGCTGTTAGGCTAAAGTTGAAAGGAAATATGTGTAAAGGGAATGAAACTCACGGGGAAGAGGAGCAGAAAGGATTTGTTTCAGCAGCTGGATTTCTTCATCTGGGGAAATGTCCTGAGAGCCAAACACATCTCCTTCTGGCCACACCTCCCTGGGCCCACAAAGGAAAAGGGCTTTAGCCAATGGAATCCAAGGTATTATTTGACTTGAGAAGTAACCAAGTTTATGACATTTGTCAGCAAGAAAGAGAATGTAGATTATTACTTCAATGATGAAACAGAAACTCTAGAAAAAAATTTTCTCATAAGCTACATCATAATGAAAACCACAGAACAAAATACAGTTTAAACACTTAACTTGATAAGACAAACATGTATATCTACGTAATTGTCTTTTACAGTCATTAGTATTATAGAAACATACACCTGATAAGAAATTGTGCTTACAGTGTATTGAAAAGGAAAGGAGATAATACAAGTAAACATGCATTATTTCATTTTTTTAAAAGAAGATGTAGCTATATCAATATATAACACAAATGGGGGGTGTGAATATTCCAGGAGGTTGAACATCAAAATGTTAATAATTGTTATCTTTGACTAGCATAATTATCCTTATTTTTATTCCTAATTGACTGTGCTTTTTGGCCAGTCCTCACAAGAACTACAAACCAACTGATCAATACTCTCCAGGATCCACTGCTGCAGCTCACGATTCTAACGGGATATTTCCTAAAATGTCTTTTAAAGACTGAGAACCCTCTACCACTGTAAGAGCTTCCCCGTGCCTCTGAAGTCTGGATCTGGGTCTAGGGGCAAGAGAAGGTGGTAGAGTTCATACCTGGCAGACCTCAGGAGGCTCAGAGCCTGAGGGGCCTGGCCAGCCAGGAGACAGTCTTGGATCCGCACCATGGCTTCTGCCCGTTGCTCTTCCACTGGTACCTCCGAGGCTGCATCAAAGGGAACTACGGAGTCCAAGCTGAGTTCAGGAGCCTAGAGAAGGATAAGGCTGTGAGAGGAGAGAAGACGACGACCTATCCAGAATACTATCCTCAAGAAAGACAGGGCTTCTGCAACTACCTACCCGTGCACAGCACTGCAGCTGCTCGGCCAGGGCTGGCCACATACCCTCAAGCTCCTCATGACTACAGGGGACACTGTCAGAAGCAGCAGGCTGGTGTAGGACCTTCTTCTTCCTTCTCTTCTTTCGTTTGTTCTATCAGAAAAGTGTGAACATGGAGGGAAGGCCAAGAGGCCTCATTCTCATCAATGCCTTCTTTATTACAAAAGTAATTAACTAGACAGATCAATAAACAGGAATAGCCTCACAGCTTTTAAATAAGAGTTATAGTATGCAGTTGTTTGGGGCCACTGGAGTCAACTACTATGGCTCACAGCGACTTGGTGAACAGCACAAAACTCTGCCCTATCCTGCACCAGCCTCACAGTCTCCACCATGCTTAAGGCCACTGCTACAATCACTACAGCAGTCTATCTTGTTCAAAGTCTTCCTCTCCTTCGCCAACCCTCTACTCTTCCAAGCATGATGTCTTTTTCCAAGGCCTCGCCCCTCTTGACAACATGCCCAAAGTATGCCAGAATTAAGTCTCATCATCCTTGGTTCTCAACAAGCACCCTGACTGCTCTTGCTCCAACAAAGATGTCCTGCTCTTTTAGCAGTCCATGGTACATTCTTTGCCAACATCACAATTTAAAAGCATCAGTTATTCTTTGTTTTTTTTAGTCACTGTCCAGTTTTCACAGGCATAATGAAGCAAATGAAAATATTATGGCTGGTGTCAGGTATACGTGAGTCTTTACATAGGCATTCTTGCTTTTACAGTACAGATTAAGGTTCTGTGCTATCAATTTAAAAATAACAACCCTTCACTGTTATCAAGCCGATTCTAACTCATAGTGACTATAGGACAGGGTAAAACTGCTCCATAGGGTTTCCACAGCTGTACATCTTTACAGAAGAAGATGGCCACATCTTTCTCCATGGAGTAAATGGTGGCTTCTAACTGCCAACCTTTCTGGTTAGTAGCCATGCACTCAGTGGTGTGATAGTAGGGATTCTTACTGATAATAATAGATCCTATCATCTATTACAGAGCTCTGGCCTAGTTGGTAAGGAAATAATATGCTGCCAACCCAAAGGTAACAGCTTCGAATCCACCAGCTGCTCCACAGAAGAAAGATGGACAGTCTCCTCCTGTGCAATTTACTGACTCTGAAAGCCCACGGAGGATCAGATATGAGTTGGTTCCAACTCAACAGTGCATAACAACATTATTTATTACACTTCAGCATAAAAAAATTATAGCAACAAGACAAAAAAAAATAGTTATCATGATAAGTGGAGTGAGATTGAAGTTGTTAAGGATTTCATTTTACTTGGATCCACAATTAACACCTTTGGAAGGAGTAGCCACAATATTATGCAATGTATTAAAATACTACACTGCCTGGAACCTCTTCAAAGTGCTAAAAAGAAAAGATGTCAATTTAATGACTAAGGTCTATCTGACCCGAGCCATGATATTTTCAACTGCTTCATAGGCATGTGATAGTTTGACAATGAAAAGGAAGAACAAAGAAGATTGGATGCCTCTGAATTATAGTACTGGCAAAGAATATTGACTGTTCCATGGACTGCCAAAAGAACAAACACATCTATCTTGGAAGAAGTATAGCCAGAGCGCTTCTTGAAGGCAGGGACAGTGAGACCACAGCTAAGATGCTTTGGGAATGTTATTAGGAGCAGCTAGTCCTTAAAGAAAGACACCATGTTTTAGAAAACAGAGGATCAGAGAAGACAACTACGTTCAATGAGATGGACTGACAGCAGCAACTGCAACACTGGGCTTAATTAAGTACAGCCGAGACTGTGAGGCTGATGCAGGATCAGGCAGTGCCATCCTTTGTACACAGTTGTTCTGAGTCGGAACTGACTCAGCGGCACCTAACAACATTTACTGTTTACGATGCTGTGTTACCTCTGCTGAGGTTTTCATATGAATCTTTTAATAGTCTACAAGGTTTGCACAAAGAAGTTAGGTTACTTGTCCAAAATCTTACTACCAACTGGCTTGTGTCCAGATCTACTTGCATTCCAAAGCTTATGTTCTTAATTTCCAGTGTATTTGATTTAAGTTCCTTGAAGAGACCATGCATTTTCTTTATTCTGAACCTCAAGGACATCAGTTTATCCTTCGTGCTTATTAAGGACTTACTTGAGATGAGGCAGGGGTTGAGTTTTAAATCTGTTTTTAAAAGGAAAAAAATTCTAGGTTTTTATATATATATAAAGCTCTGGTGGCCTAGGGGTAAGGACGGAGTTGTGTTGCCAACTCAAAGCCACATGGGTGGCTTTGACAAGCACTGTGGCATTTGGACAAGAACAAACTGGGAGGAGGGTAGAGAGAATAGTGCAACAATGAATGAATGGAAACCCAAAATCTCTGTAAATGTTTATGAAAATTAATAAAATATAGGAAAAAAAAAAAGACACAGTGGAAAAAAAAAAGCCACATGGGTGACTCCATCAGCTGTTCTGTAGAAGAGAGATGAATGGTCTCCTCCCAGGTGATTTACAGCCTCTTAAAAACCTCTTGGAGGGTCAGCTATCAGTCAGTCTACTGCAATTCTATAGCAATAAGTTGTATTTTTTTTTTCTGGGCCTCACAAATTTTTTAAAAAATTTTATTATTATTAATTTTAATGAAAATTTACAGAGACTTTGGATTTCCATCCATTCATTCATTCATTGGTGCGCTTTTCTCCCCCCCGCCCCCCAAGTACACTCTTCTCTTTGAAAAGTAAAAGAAAAATTCTTTGTTTTACAATCCCTCCCCCCAGGTCCACCCCACTATGCAGCCTTCATTCTGGACTCCTGTTATGACAATAATATCTAATCACATATCCCTTTTAAACAGTTTTCTCCCTCATCTGTTCCAATGCAGTAAACATTATTTATCCCATCCTTCTCAGTCTTTTCCTAACCCCAATGTCAGTCTTGTTTTACAACAGTGGCACTATGCAGTATTTGTCCTTTTGTGGTTTGGTGGGGTTTTTTTTTATTTTATTAATACAATAAGAAGTTTAGTACTCCCACTCAGTAGTTTCTGGGGGTTTTGATGTTAAGTCATACATAATACGAGAAATACTAGGAATCTTCTTAATTTCAGTGACCATCTTTAACACCACCTCAGCAGGGATCTCATTTCCAGGTGTTGCAGGTACACCAGTGATGAAGTCACTAGTGATAAACTGTCTAATAACCACTGATCTCTGGCGTGAAGGCTGCTTCTGAAGTGGGTCCCGATCAAAATGCAACAGTGTAAAAATCACAGGCATCTGGCTGATTTTCTGGGCATACCACACTCCCTGAGAATGTTATGGGCCTCAAAATCAGCTTGACGTAAAGTACTCAGCACCCCTGTTGTCCAAAAGGTAGGTGTAACATCTGTGGGAGGTTCTTTAACTGGTGGACCAAATATATAGACAACTCTGTTAATGTTGTGACACATGCGAGGTTTAAGTCGAGCCAGGAACATGAGAGACTTCCAGTCAGGTTCGTCTTTACTGGAGACTCCAAACACGTAACTGTAGGAACGGCAGTCACCTGCACACCTACTGTTTTGATTGGCAACAAAAAGGCCTTCAGTGAATGCAGACTGGTGATCTGCATCAGTTTCTCCTGGTCCTCCTCTATTGTATAGGCTTTCACTCTTTTTAACAGTGTATGTGGCTTTTTAACCCTTGCAGAAAAATCGGCTACAATTTTAAAAATATTGCTGGTTTCAGGAAAGTCCTTACAAATACAAGGTTCTTCAGCACATATTACTCTGATTGCCAGGCCAGGGCCTGGAAATGGATGCCTGGAAACTATCTCTTCCGGAAGTCAGAGTTCTCTGCCTAAAATTCTCACTTCATCTTTATGAAAATCTTTCAGAGGTTCTATTACTTTTCCTCCTTCTCTCAACTTTCTGATGAGCTCTGTGTCATTATGATGGGTTTTGATGAGTTCAGCTTTGCCATGGCAGTAAAAGATGCACTTTCAATTAGATCAGGCCGCAAGGTAGCCTGGGCAAGAAACACCTCCGACGGTTTCAGGTTCATTTCTACAATTATTTCGTTGGCAAAAAAATATCCCCAATGATTTTTCTTTTTTTTCAGGACTCGTAGTCATATTTAACGTTTTGCTAATCCTTTTTCGTGAAGTTCTGTCTTCATCCGATATTGGTAGAGTTGTTCCATTGTGGAAAGAACGAGCAGCATTTATTACTTTGACCTGAATTCCCAGCTTTTTGAGGGCTGCTTCTACAGACTGACTCTTGCATTTTCTCATAAAGCCATTATCAATGTGCACAGCGATAACTTGATCTTGGTTCAAAGAATGATTCAGCAAAGCTGTGCAAACTGTTGAGTCTATGCCACCACTGAGCAAAACCAAAACTTTTGACGGGCCAACTTTCTCTTTGATCTCTTGAATGCATTCAAGTTCTCTGTTTTGAACAGTGAAGGTCCCAGTGCACCCAGCTATTTCATAGAGGAAATTCTTCAGGATTACTTTTCCATTTTCTGTAAGGCCAACTTCAAGATGGAACTGTGCTCCATATAATTTTTTTGTTTCATTTGCTATACCTGCTACAATGTCCCCAGAACGTGCCACTACCTTGAATCCATCAGCTCCTTTGTCTACACTATCTCCGCGTATAAGCAGAACGATTTCTTCCTTCTGAAGGTCCCTGAATAATGAGCATGTGTTATCCACGCTAATATTGAAGACTCCATCTTCCCTAACACTTTTTTTGTGCACTGTACCTCCAAATACTTTATTCATCATCTGCATGCCAAAGCATATTCCAAGGACAGGTTTGCCAGTTGTGAATATTGCTGGGTCATACCAAGGAGCATCTTTGGCATACATGGAATTAGGTCCTAAAGAGATGATAACAACCGAAATCCTTGCTCTTTGATGGCAAATGCTGGTGTTTCCAAGGGGAAGATTTCTGACTGTACGAACAGCTCCCTCACTCTTCGGTCTATGACTTTTCCATACTGAGCTCCAGCATCCTGAATGCCGACAGCTCCTTCATAGTGGTGCTACCCGTCCTTAAGGTCTCCTCCAGCACTATCCGGCTTGGAGTCTCTGTTGCACAGAGCCATTGGGGAGGGGGCCGCGGTCACGGCGCTGGTGTGAGCATGAGACAAGGTGGGCGGGAGCCGGTGGGGTGGCTGTCTGCAGCCAGAACGCAGGAGCAGGCCTGGTCCAGGAGCGGGTGGGCTGCCTGTGAAGTGCCGAATCAAGTAGGAGCCTGCGAGCACGGGCCCCAGTGCCACAGGAGGATTTGTCCTTTTGTGACTGAGATATTTCACTCAGCATAATGCCTTCCAGGGTCACCCATTTTGAATAATATTTCATGAGTTCCTTGTTTTTCAATGCAGCGTAGTATTCCATTGTGTGAATATACCACACCTTCTCTATCCATTTGTTTGTTGATGGGCACTTAGGTTGTTTCCAACTCTAACAAAGCCATGATAAACATGGGTGTGCATATATCTGCTTGAGTGGCGGTTATGGGGTTTTGTGGGTATATTCCCAGTAGTGGAATTGCTGGGTTAAATGGTATCACCTCTATTTGCAACTTTTTGAGAAAGCACCATACCGCCTTCCACAGGGGTTACACCATTTTACACTTTCACCAACAGTGAGTAAGTGTTCCAGTTTCTCCACAACCTCGCGAGCATTTGTTGCTTGCTGTTGTTCTGTTAAATTTTGCTGTTCTTACCGGGGTGAGTTGATATCTCACAGTTGTTTTGACTTCATAGTTTTCAAAGCCATTTTATAAGGAATTTCTTATCTTTGATCCTCATGGCCAATCTGTTTACAAGTTTCTGTTTAAGATATCACTGCTTTTAGAAAACCTTTTCTGACCCAAAGAAATGGGCAAGTACTGTTTCTGCATTCTTTTTTTTTTTTAAAATTTACCATAGCTGAAATGATAAGATTTGTGATATTTACAATTGAATATGGGAAAAAAATGAGGAGTAATAATTATCCAGGAAATAAACTCTTATCTCACATAGATCAAATTCAAATGAGGAAAAATTGATAAAGACACCAAATAGAAATGCAAATGTTAAGAAGATTCTAAATATGACAAAATACTAACAAAATGATCTTGTTGTTATGTGCCATCAAGTTGCCTGCGACTCATAGAGATCCTATGTACAACAGGTCTAAACCCTGCTCTATCCTGTGCCAATCTTACTGTCTGTGACACAGCTACCCCCATTACCGCAGTCACTGAATCAGTACATCTCAGTGAGAGTCTTCCTCACCTGTGCTGTTTCTCCACCCACCCAAGCATGACATCTCTCTCCAAGGACTGATCCCACCTTGTAACATATCCAAAGTATGTCAGAGAAAGCTTCAGAATTCTTGCCTCCAAAAAGCAGCCTGGCTTCACCCTCTCCAGGACAAGCTTGTTTGTTCTCCTAACAGTCTATAGTATATTCAATCTTAGATACTTTTTACCCAAGCTACCAAAAAGCTATAACAATAGAATTTTACCATTATGGGTAACATCAAAATTGAAAGTTCAGAGAACTTTTCACAACAGGGAAGACATTTTCATACAAGTATAGAAAATTCTCTCCATCAGAGCTAAAATATGCCCTGTGAATAACGGTCCTGTTCTTTTATGGTCAGAAACATGAAATGTGAACGCCGGGGGAACGCACCCCGCCGCCCGCCAGACCGGGGGAACGCTGCCACCAGACCGGGAACGCCGCCGCCAGACCGGGGAACGCCGCTAGAGGGACCCGGAAGAGACCCGGGAAGAGCAGCCGGG